CCATCCCCAAAAACAACACACAGATACAAACCAAGGTTTCATTTGGGCTCTTATCAGCCAATTTGGCTTATTTTCAACTTGCAGAAATAAAAACCTTTTATTATTATTATTATTATTTCTTTTTTTCTAGCTTAGTTAAATTAAAGCCTTTTTTATTTTTTAATATATTTTTCTTTTGCCCTTTTTTAACTTGTTTTCATACCAAGCTTTGCTCTTTGTTGGATGAGGATTTGCCATCTTCATCAACCACCCCTAAGAAAGGTGTTTTATCTCTGACTTAAAGATTATTTTACAGAAATATATTAAAAAGAAGTTTTAGTGTTTTATTGTGAAATGATATTGTGTCAGTAAAGCCGTGGTTCAGTGAAAAATAAATACAACTCACCCTCCAAAAACCAGAGTGTTTAGTAGTCAGCGGAGTTCCTGTGGATGACTTAAGCTCGTAAGTAATCCTAGAATTACTCCAAATTAGTATAAAACTTGTAAATATTATATTCTTCTTGTAATAACTGCTTATTAGTTTGGATTAATTTTTTTTTTAATGATTCCATTGCATATAAGGCAGCTAATAATTTTTAATCTCTTCATTTGCTTTCCTTGCAGCAGGCCACAGCAAGTTTGTGTCGGCGAGAAGCGCAGCCTGCAGAGTGATTGTCCACCTGGACTTGGACTGCTTCTATGCACAAGTCGAAATGATCCGTAACCCTGAGTTAAGAGACAAGCCTTTAGGTATGTGTTTGCTGTTTAATTTCGGGATTTTATGGGTATTTAGGCAGAAGAAACTTAAGGACGTGAAGAAATTAAAGACGTGCTTGTGTGGTGAGATACAGTCACATCGGAGTTGTAACAACATCCAGAGCGAGCAAGGTGCAGTCTAGACTCCATGTAGCTCTGACTACATGATTAATAAATCCTCTTGAGCACAAGTACAGGCACTTCCTGATGTGTCTGTGCAGTTCTGGGGGTAGAAGCTCATTTATAATTGTGCTGGTGGCACTGGGAGCACTGGGCTGGCAGCCGCTCGCTCACTGCCCCCACCCAGGGGATAGGGGAGAGAATTGGGGGGCGAGGGGAAGGAGACTCGTAGGGGAGAGAAGAACCATATAATCATGGAAATGAAATAAAACTTAAAATAATAATGATATTAAAATACTAATGATTATAATAATAGTAATAAAATATGCAAATGAGTGACACCCAGTGCCATTGCTCACCACCCGCCCACCAAGCCCGGCCCGTTCCCAGATCACGATCCCGCAGGAGCCACAATCCCGACCCGAAACCGCAATCCCGGGAGAGCCAGAGCCCGAGCCAAAGCCAGAGAGAGCAAGAGAGGAAGAGCCCCTCATGGATCTCCTGCCCATGGGGGACAGGAGATGGAACAGCCCCTTGGCAGAGCCCAATGCCCATGGAGCTGAGTCAGGTCAATATTCCTCAATATTCCAGATCAGCAAAACACAAAGTCCTTCAACTTCCAGTGAGAACTGAAAACATCGGTGTGTGATCCTAAAAAGACACAAAATTAAGAGCAATATTACAATGGGAAAAAAATATCAATACGGTTTTAAAATATTCTTACTGTCCAGTAATTTAAATTGAGAGATCTGTCCTCATAATCTTGTAAAATCCGACTGTTTTGTTGGTTTGTTTGTTTAATGATGTTGTGTTCTGATCAAAGCATTTGCTTCCCAGTCTGTGCAGTGACGTGAAACTACTGTCATCTTCTATAAAGTACCAAGAAACGTACACTTTAAAAAATAAACCCATTTAATTTTTGGTTTTTAGGTGTGCAACAGAAATCCATCGTCGTCACCTCAAACTATGAAGCCAGAAAACTTGGAGTTAAGAAACTGATGTCTGTCAAGGATGCTAAAGAGAAGTGTCCTCAGCTGATACTGGTTAATGGAGAAGATCTAACTCCGTACAGGGAAATGTCCTACAAAGTTACAGGTACAAAATTCATCATTTTTTCACTAGAGGATAAACAGTTTCTGTTAAAAATCTACGTGCATCTGCAATAATACACGACATCTTCCTGCTCTACAAGTTCTGAGTAGAATGAGCCTCCTACCGTGGTGATAACATCACATCCAACATCAATATTTCATTTAAAAAGTGATCAGTGCTGGTTGCAACCTGCGTCAGGCATTATTAATTATCATCCTGATAATTGATATTTAATTTATATTACAGAATCTATATGCTGCAGTAGGATTATCTCCATGTAGTTCTTAATGATTTATTTTCACTTCGATACCAATCTCAGGAATATATTTCCACATGTGAAGTGATGGAGGACAAAATGGTGAAGCCTTTGAGTGGGTGAACTTCTCTAATTAATCTCTTAATTAAATAATATGCCAGGATGGGCATTGATTACTGCTTTTCTCATTAGCAGGTGAAATAATAATAATAATAATAATAATAATAATAATAATAATAAAGGGAATAATAATAATAATAATAATAATAATAATAAAGGGAAACAGATTTCCTTCCAGTATTGCAGAGATCAAGACATTTTTAATTTCCTAAAGAAATTTCTTCACAAAGAAATGAGGAAAGAAAGAAGAGATTTGAGGAGGGGGGTAAAAAGCAGATGCCAGAGGTAGTTGTGAGATGAAGAAATATTCCTCTTCTTCACCTTTGCTAAAATAAATCCCTTAGGATTTTATCTGGGAGAGAATACGGTTTCTCTTCGTGCAAACATCCTACTTGAGTGGGAAATCAGTTTTCATCCAGCCATGAAAACCTCAGAGTATTAATTGTGTGTGTATTACCCTCGAGTATCTTTCCCTCCTAGAATTGTTGGGGGAATTTTGTCCGTTGGTGGAAAGACTTGGATTTGATGAGAATTTTGTGGATGTCACAGAGATTGTAGAGAAAAGATTAAACCAGCTCCAGCAAAGCGGATGTTGCAGTGTCTGTGTGTCTGGCCATGTCTACAACCACCAAGGTGAGTTAAATATTCTTTAGGTTGATAAATCCAGGAAATATTTCTGGAAATCATAGAATCATGGAATGGGTTGGGTGGGAAGGGACCTTCAAGCTCATCCAGTTCCAACCCCTCTGCCAGCAGCAGGGACACCTTCCACTAGACCAGGTTGCTCAAAGCCTCATCCAACCTGGCCACAAACACTTCCAGGGAGGAGCAGCCACAGCTTCTCTGCCCAACCTGGGACACTGGCTCACCACCCTCACACCAAACAATTTCTTCCTCACATCTCAGCTCCATCTCCCCTCTGACACTTTCAAGCCATCACCCCTTGTTCTCTCACTCCCTGCCCTTGGCCAAAGTCCCTCCCCAGCCTTCCTGGAGCCCCTTCAGGTACTGGGAGGCCACTAGAAGGTCTCCCTGGAGCCTTCTCTTCTCCAGACTGAACAGCCCCAACTCTCTCAGCCTGTCCTCACAGCAGAGCTGCTCCAGCTCTCGCATCATCCTGGTGGCCTCCTCTGGAATAAAATCAGTATAAAGTATCTGTCTGCTTCAAAATATCCTCCAGAGCTGAATAACTGGGAACTTTTCTTGCTCTGCACATGGTTTCTGTGTTTGAGAGCAGACATACCACAAATGTGAATCAGCATTCCAGTTAGATGGGACAAAAAACACATTTTTGTGGTAGATAAATGATTTGGGAGACCAGATTTTCACTGTCTTTCATTTTTTTTCCCTTTAAAGTACTTTTACTGTAGGAAGACTTACAATCTTATTTGAGTTTTGTTGTTCAGTGAGACATTTGGTTTTGTTGAATGTCGTCATCAATTGGGAAAATGGAATCAGGTTTTTTAAACAAATTAAAAAATGAAAACAACAGTAAATTTTTACTGTAGCCCTTGGGTCAGGAGCAGACTCACTGAGACTGAAGTAGCTCACTGAGCTGCTTCGTACATCGTCACAGGGCTTGGGTTCAGCTGGGATTTGGTAGCAGAAGAACGTTGATCACACACCGATGTTTGCAGTTCTCACTGGAAGTTGAAGGACTTTGTGTTTTGCTGATCTGGAATATTGAGGAATATTGACCTGACTCAGCTCCATGGGCATTGGGCTCTGCCAAGGGGCTGTTCCATCTCCTGTCCCCCATGGGCAGGAGATCCATGAGGGGCTCTTCCTCTCTTGCTCTCTGGCTTTGGCTCAGGCTCTGGCTCTCCTGGGATTTCTCTCCCCCTACGAGTCTCCATCCCCTTTTAGGTAAGAATTTTAATTTCTTTTATTTTTATTTAATTTATTTTCAGACTTTACATACTGAAAAAATGGATCTTTTCCTTTTCAGCTGTCAATTTGTCTGATCCAACACACCTAAGATTAGTTCTCGGATCTCAGATCGCTGAAGAATTCAGGGAAGCCATATTCACCAGGCTGGGCCTCACAGGTTGTGCTGGAGTGGCCTCTAATAAATTAATGTCAAAACTGGTGTCTGGGATATTTAAACCAAATCAGCAAACACTTCTTCTGCCTGAAAGTTGTCAAGATCTAATCCGTAGCCTTGAGCACATCCAGAAAGTGCCTGGTAAGTGAGTGAGGACAGTGGTGGGAGTGAAGGTGGAGAGAATATCGACAGCTCGTTAGGGTGGTAAGAAAAAAATCCTGGAAAAATGAAAGTTGTGATAATTTGTAAATCTCTAGTTCCTGCAGGAGGGCAGCGGGGTGTGCAGGTGCCTTCTCTTTGGTTTTGTGGTGAGGGGTGTCCCTCAGGGGTCAGTTTTGGGACTGAAGCTCTTCAACATCTTTATCAGTGACCTGGAGGGTGGGATCGAGGGCACCCTCAGCACGTTTGCTGGTGGCACCGAGCTGAGTGGTGCGGCTGATACACGCTGGAGGGACAGGATGGCATCCAGAGGGACCTGGACAGGCTGGAGAGGTGGGACCATGAGAACCTCATGAGGTCCAACTCATGGAGAGCAGCCCTGCTGAGAAGGACTTGGGGGTCCTGGGGGACAAGAAGCTGGACATGAGCCAGCAGCGTGTGACTGCAGCCCAGGAGCCCAACTGTGTCCTGGGCGGCATCGACAGAGGGGTGGCAGCAGGTGAGGGAGGGGATTGTCCCCCTCTGCTCTGCCCTGGTGAGGCCCCACCTGGAGTGTTGTGTCCTCCAGCACAAGGAAGATGTGGAGCTGTTGGAGCGGGGCCAGAGGAGAGCCAGGAAGATGATCCGAGGGCTGGAGCACCTCTCTGCTGAGGAAAGGTTGAGGGAGCTGGGCTTGTTGAGCTTGGAGAAGAGAAGGCTCCAGGGAGACCT